ACGTGACCACGAGCTTTCTGTCGTGCACGAATGCGCTGTCCAACCAAGTTCCTACCTGCCTGCCCACTCCGAAGCAACGTGTTTTAGTTTATACCTTCGTGACTTTACCTAAAGAACCACAGAGTAGTGAACTACGAATTAGGGTTATTATTGGTTCTTTTGGTAAAGTCACGTAGAATTTTTTTTTTATTAAAAAAAATTATTAAAAATAATTCTCTCCGCCCGATAAAGACCACTTGTGTTGCGATCGAAACGTCGTGGGGTTTTTTTTTTAATTCATTTTTGTTTTATTTAAATGTTCTATCTCCGTGACTCTACCGAAAGAAGCAAGACTATGAATTCCTGCAGTAACGAAAGTTTAAAGTCAAAATTTGACGAATTAGGGCTGAACGAGTAATCGATTTCAAATCGATTAATCGCGATTTTAATCAATGCGATTAGCAAATCGCAAAGGCTGCGATTGTTTGCGATTTGAAAGTCCTATTACTTTCGTATTGGAATTGTTTCATTTTGTATTATTATAACTTTATTTATTTAACTTAACAATTGTTCTATGTTTGATTGTTCTATTTCAATTAAAACATTTTAAGAAATACATGTTGGAAGCAATTCACATCCTTTAAGTTCTCATCCTCGCATTAGAATATATAGAGCAGTTCATATTTTGATGGTATCACGTGGTAATGCTCTATCACACGTTTGAAATCTATTACACAGTGAATATTGAACTGACGCTTGACTTAAAAAAAATTAATCGCAAATCAAATCGCGATCGCAATATCTGTCGGAAAAATCGCAATTAGAAATGTTCCCCAAATCGTTCAGCTCCACCTGGAATCCGCGTGTACGTCACCACCGTGAGTCTGGCAGGTGGAGCGAGGACAACATCGGGTGACGAACATCTGAACCGGCCCTTGGCCTCCGCCAAGGACTACTCAGTGTTAAACAAATTAATAACATAAAAAAAAACTTTTTAAAACACGCTTTAATGAAATGTACTAGTAATGGCAGAACTCTACGACTCCAGGAAGTGGCCCCGAAGCTTGCCGTAACGTAAGAGGGGGGGGGGGCGTGGCCAATTACAGCCAACGTCAGTTGAGCGTGGACAATTAGAGCCAAACCGAAACATAACATATAAAATATAATGTTTTAAAAATATATATTTTTTTGATTCAATATAGTATTGTCATCAGCATGACATTCGTATACCAAGTTTGCAGTCGATACCACATTGGGAAGTGGGTTAAAATTGAGTTACAAGATTTGGGGATACAACAACAACGACAACAACAACAGAGTTAAAAGAAAGTGTGTAATATTAAAATGAGTAGCTGGCTGCAGTGTGTAAACATCACCACTGGGGAGACAAAAGCGGCCGGGTTTTTTTTTTTTCGTTCTGTTGTGCCACTGCCACCCTAACCCCTCTCGTGTGCCGTGCCGGCCTTAAGTACGCGTTCGTTAAACTGCTCTTGCCCCAACAATATTTCAGAGGCTACACGGGGGATCTTTGTCTTGTGTGTGTGTATTCGCTAACAGCACTTGCCCTAACAATCTGTCAGAGGCTACACAGGGGATTTTTTGCCTTGTGTGTGTGTATTCGCTAACAGCACTTGCCCCAACAATCTGTCAGAGGCTACACAGGGGATCTTTGCCTCGTGTGTGTACTCGCTAACAGCACTTGCCCCAACAATCTGCTAGAGGCTACACAGGGGATCTTTGCCTCGTGTGTGTATTCGCTAACAGCACTTGCCCCAACAATCTGTCAGAGGCTACACAGGGGAGCTTTGCCTTGCGTGTGTGTGTATTCGCTAACAGCACTTGCCCTAACAATCTGTTAGAGGCTACACAGGGGACCTTTGTCTTGTGTGTGTATGTACTCGCGAACAGCACTTGCCCTAACAATCTGTCAGAGGCTACACAGGGGATTTTTGCCTTGCGTGTGTGTACTCGCTAACAACACTTGCCCCAACAATCTGTCAGAGGCTACACAGGGGACCTTTGTCTTGTGTGTGTGTACTCGCTAACAGCACTTGCCCCAACAATCTGTCAGAGGCTACACAGGGGAGCTTTGCCTTGCGTGTGTGTGTATTCGCTAACAGCACTTGCCCTAACAATCTGTTAGAGGCTACACAGGGGACCTTTGTCTTGTGTGTGTATGTACTCGCGAACAGCACTTGCCCTAACAATCTGTCAGAGGCTACACAGGGGATTTTTGCCTTGCGTGTGTGTACTCGCTAACAACACTTGCCCCAACAATCTGTCAGAGGCTACACAGGGGACCTTTGTCTTGTGTGTGTGTACTCGCTAACAGCACTTGCCCCAACAATCTGTCAGAGGCTACACAGGGGATATTTGCCTTGCGTGTGTGTGTATTCGCTAACAGCACTTGCCCTAACAATCTGTTAGAGGCTACACAGGGGACCTTTGTCTTGTGTGTGTAAAGAAGATTGTGTGTGTGTACTCGCTAACAGCACTTACCCTCATTCGATTTTTTCCAGCTAAACGAGAGACCTTTTGTGTTTGTCTCGCCTATAGTGATGTGTGGGTGTGTGCGCGCTTGCGTGTGTGTGCGCCTGTGTGTGTGTGTGCGCGCGGTGCGTGTGTGTGCCTGTGCCTGTGTGTGTGTGCGTGTGTGTTTGCGCGTGTGTGTGCGCGTGCGTGTGTGTGCCTGTGTGTGCCTGTGTGTGTGTGCGCGCGCGGTGCGCGTGTGTGTGTGCGTGTGTGTGTGCGCGTGTGTGTGTGCGTGCAGGCGTGTGTGCGTGTGTGCGTGCGTGTGTGTGCCTGTGTGTGTGCCTGTGTGTGTGCCTGTGTGTGTGCGTGCAGGTGTGCGTGCATGTATGTGCGCGTGTGTGTGCACGCGTGTGTCTGTGCGCGTGTGTGCGTGTGTGCGCGTGTGTGCGTGCGCGCGTGCGCGTGCGCGCGTGTGTGTGTGCGTGTGCGCGTGTGCGTGCGCGTGTGCGTGTGTGTGTGCGCGCGTGTGAGCGGTGGCGCAGTGGGTTAGCGCCCCGCCGACGCTTGTCTGTGATCCGCGCCAACGACTAGCAGCAAGCACCAGGCGACGATAATTACCCGAACGGGTTCCGCGTGCCACTCAGGGGTCGTCTCGACCGCGGAGTGGCGAGCGACAATCACCACTCGGGGGGCGGCGGGGGGGGGGCAAACGTGGGTCGGGCCGCCGTGCCGGCTACCCAAGGCCGTAGCCATGGAGTCAACATCGGGGGGGGCCACATTTCAAGGGGGTCTGGGGGTGTCCCCCCCCCTCCACCCAGAAAAAATCTAAATTTGAAAACGAATTTCCGGCTTAAATTTTTTTTTATTCACTAACACATGGGATGGACTTTTTTTTTACAATAATGTCTAATAGTGTATTGTATTACATTGCTCTGTTTTTTTTACATTTCCTTCTGTCATTGTATGTAATGGCAGAGATCGGGGATTAATAAAGTACAAGCATAACCACAATCATATGAACACAATCTATGCATTGATTTAAATGAAGACAAGTCCAGATATTGTGGCCAAGGTTTAGAGAATTGTTCTTTTTATTTACATAGCATAGCAATTATTTGTAAATATTTTATCGCAATATATTGGGAGGGACATTTTGAGCATATTCAATATTGGGGGGGGGGATGTGCCCCCCCCAATATTTATTATAATTACAGGCTTGCGGCTACCCACACTCCCCGCGTCTGCCGGCACTTGCCCCAGCCGTCAGCTGAAGGCTATGCGGTAGGGTGGGACTTTACCTTTTGTTCTATTTGCGACCGCTGTTGCCAAGTCTGCACGACCGCAACGCCGAGCGGCCAGCAACAAAGAGCGCGATTCAAATTGTGGTGGCGACGAGTTTGTGCGGCCGTGCGTTGCTGTTATCGTCAATGTTGTACGTGTGTGTGTACATGTGTTGTTGATGTGTGGTGTGTGTGTGTAGTACATG